AACCCATCTTGCTGTAAGACTGAGACCCAGTCCCTGAGCCAGGCTGGAGTACAACCACCACCTTGCCCTCCCTGTCTGCTCACCCCCATCTGCATTCTTTCTCCCACCCATCTGTTCGCTCTCCAGATATTTATACATGTGAAAACCTTCTCTTCAATACCATCTCTTCCTCATACAAATACCCACCTGGAGGCCGTTAGCTTGGTCAGGCACACCTCCATAAAGGGGGCCTTTATGCCTTGCACAACCTCTTAAAATCATTTAGCTTTTCTGACAACTCTCAGGTCTAAGTTGTCAATAATCCTATATTCAGTTTCCCTCCTCATGTGACAGACAGAGACAGACTACAGAACAGGCTTTATTGAATTTATTTGCTTTGCATATAGCAGAAATCAAGAATGCTAAAAGAAGCTGAAAACTTGTCAGAATGTGCCTCTAGGCGTTAAAAAAACTTAACCTCTTTACTTAAAACAGATTTTTGTTGTTAACTGTGGAAAGGAAATTGTTAATGGAGAGTTCTTAGGGTGAGAATAACCTAATAGTGGTCCACTCTGAGGAAAGGGGCATCGGAGGTGTAACAGCTAATTTACCAGGACTACCTAGGCAAAGGGCATCTACCTTTAATGATCTGTTCACTATGAGAAAACAAAGGAAATCAAACCCAAACAATCAAAATCTTAGCATTATCAAAAAGGCAAAGATACAGTATCAGGAAAAATAAATGTAGTATAGAGAAAAGATACAATCCAGCATATGATTGTGCAATATCACATTATATCATCATCAGCAAAACCAAGCATCAAGGATTTAAATTAGCTCTGGCACCTCACAGCCTCGCTGAACTTTTTTTGCATGTGGCAGCACCCTACTCAGAATTTAAAGGCACAGTTATATCTAGGTCTGCATTTCTGTTTAAGCAAAGTAGCCCCAAGGTGACAGAGACAGACACAGAAAAAGGTATATTAGGACACTTCTGGGTTTCCTAAGCAAATGAGCTGGGTACTGCCCAGGTATCAGAGGGAGCTCTCCCTTAGTGCTTGGTGTGTCTAGGGGATGGAACAGAGGGAAAGGACTTGGGGTGAGTGGTTCACTGGGGAGGCAAGGGCTGTCTAGCCTAGTGACTTTTGGGGTGTGTGCCCCTAGGAATAAGGGCAAGGAAAGGCTGATTTAATCACCTTGGGCTTCCAGTTAGCAGAAAGTTAATTGTTCTATGGCTTTAGAATTGCAGTCTTGCTTTGGGGTAAAATCTTGTGAAACAGAGGCTGCTGAGGGAAAGTGACAAGAAACTGGACTATGTGGAGGTCTCCATCTTAAGGCTGGAGCCAGTGTGTAAGACAGCTCTCCAGTGGCCCCAGACTTCCTCTGCGGAAGGCTTTCCATCTGCCTGATTGAAAGCACAGCTTTCAGCATCTGTAGAAGTTTGAATTTCAACAGGGTCTTAGGTTAAAAAACAGGATATATGTGACATGCAGTACATGTCTGAGCAACTGGAGAGGGTCACAGTGGCACTGGGGCAAAAGGTCAAACACTGATGGACTAACCATCCAGAGGAGTACGAGAATCCCCAAGGAATGGTCTGCCTCATAGGAAGGTGCTCACTGCTGCCAGACCTGTGACAGGTTGACATAGGGCAGGTGCAGAGAGAGCTCTGTATAAATTGTAGGCATTGGGGGCCCTCACAGATACAAAGAAGGTGTTTCAAAGGGCAGTGGGCTGATTGGGGGACTGGCTGTGCAAAAATTTTCTTGGACACCCAGGATTTTCACTTCTACCACCTCTTCTTAGGGGCTTTGCAAAGCTTGGAGCAGCAACCAAAAAACTGAAGCATCAAACTAGGCTCATAGAACCTAAAAGCCAATCCTTGGGCCAAATCATCTGGACATTTCCATTAGAATGAATTTACTTGATCAAGGGAAATGACTACCTCTTAGTTGCTCCAACAAAATGTTTTCGCTTTCTCCCTTCTAAAAGCACATTGTCCAAAGTTAAAGACTTCTCAATTTGACAGAAGTGCAAACATTTTACATAGTTTTCACAGAGGAAATTCTGGGTTTTCAGATGCTGGCAGTGACTCTACTGAAGGTTACACATTTACGGCATTTGTTTCATTCAGATAATTATTAGCTTTAATTTTCATTTTAAGGCTCCTTTGCTTAATACAAATGGTTACAGTAAATAAATCACTATGTGGCATTAATAACAGCTATTGGCAATTATCATTTGAAATGCTGATACTCCACCCAGGAGCTATTTATTTAATGATTTCTGCCATCTGGCTCCATGCTTTGGCTTTCTTCTTGGCCAGGGAGAACCAGACTGGCTCAGCTGGCTCAACCGGCTGTTGTAGTGTGACTGGGAGAGTGGAAGACCTTCTGGTTTCCTTCTTCATAGAATGTACTTGAAATATCTTATCATCTTCAAATCCTATTGGAACCACAGTAAATAACACACAAGTAGTAAGAAGCCCCAGAGATACTGAGGTATGTTTATGGGATGCAATAAGACTTTTCCTCCTTTCAGGTTTTCTCTGGCTTCTAAAAGTCAGTGCATAGGCAGTGCCATAGGGTGATATGTGAAAGGGGTAACATCAATACGGCTATGGCCACAGGGACCTGGACATGGGAAGGTCTGAGAGAAAATACCTACAGCTGTAACTGCCAATCTTTGGCTGATTATTATTGGATTGTCTTACACTTCTGAATTGAGTCTAGAGGGGAAATGTATCTTTTCAGTTTTTTCAATTTAAATAAGGTAATATTGTTTTGTTTTGCCAATCCATGATGTTGTATGAAATGACTGATGACTCAGTAGATCCACCCAGTAAAAGTCTATGCTAAATAACATTATATCAACTACTCCTTCCCTCATCTGGCTTTATGGTTGATGGACTTAGTGGCTTAGAGTCAACCAGTGATTCTCAACCCTGGCCACACATTAGAATCATCTAGGGTTCTCTTTAAAAATATGAATGCACATGCTATTTCTTGAACTAACTGAATTAGAATCTCTAGCAATGGATCCAGGGCAATCTGTAATTTTAAAAAAGCTCATCAGGTGATTCTAATATACAATGAGAGTTGAGAACCACTTGACAGGAGTACAGTGCACATGAGACGATTCACAGCTATAAGCAGGTCAAGTGCTGCTATTTCATGGCCACACAGTGGGTTCCTAAACTCCTAGTTTAATTTCTTCATGAGACAGACTAAGAGAGAGGGCAAAGATGACTCAATATAAATCCATCCTCCCCCTACCCCGCTCCTCCTCCTGGAAGAGAAAACATCCCTCTGGCACACAACTCTACTGATGAGACCTTATTCTATCGCAGCAGTGCTTTTTCAGCTTTCAACATTCCCCCACCTCTCATACCCCTGCTCAGAATACAGAGGGGCTGAAACAAGCTTTTAAATGGTTAAAAAAAACAATTCAATACCACTGAGACTTTACAGTGCTTTATTTTCCACAGATTCATTGGGAATGTAGAAGGTGAGAAAATGCTGCTTTGCTATGAACTAAAAAAAAAGTAACTTGGTTCTTTCCTCTTGAATACCAGCCCTAAGAATGTTCTAGTGAGTGATCACAATTTTGTGCCTATACAGCTTCATAGATGTGGTAAAGACTGGAAGGCTCTCTGAAAGTTACACACTGGACTTAACAGTAGTCATAATTATCAGATTTTCCTAAAACAAGCTGATATCTGTATCTAATGGAAGAGCCATGAGAGAAACATGAAGCTGATTTGGGGGAAGAGACATCTGTTGTCTGAGCTTGAAACTGCAAAAGTTTCACAACATTCTACCCAGGCTATTTTGAGGGGTGGGGGTGGGGGGTGTTTTTTACCTGCTTTGGTAGACTTAGGTAGCTTCATCCGTACCATTTTCTCCTGTCTATTGACATTGGAACTGAAAATCCGTCTTGATTGGTTTTCATTTGCAAGGCCAGCTCTCTTTAACACAAAATGAAAACAGAAAGGTTGTTAAGTCCTGACATGAAAACTGCAAATTACTTATTCAAATCACAAGCCCTGTCCTGGGTATTATGAGTTCAACATTAACCAGAAGGAAAGAGAGAGAGAGATAGAAAGAAACAGAAAGCACCTTGGTTCAAAATTTCAGTTCACAAAACCTAAGCTGGTTCAAGTTTATCACCTTTCTGAGCTGGAAGAAAAGGTTGTCTAATCATACAAATAGTGTAAACAAGTTAACGTGAGAATTATTTAACTTGACAACAGCCTCTTCTCTAGCACTTTACCAGCACTTAGCAAGCTAACAGAATGTGGTGGTTACAAACACCTTATCAGTTAATTAACGTGACTTTCATGGATTTCTACGTAACAAAACTTGTTTACATCTGACTTGCATTAGAAAGTGATACAACTAGGTGTTTTCAAAATTGTACAGCTTAAGCTTTTCAAATTAACCTCTCCACAACTAGTCTAAATCAATGAGTTTATATACCCTAAAATATGTCCCCCGACAAAAGCTTTAATGAAGGTGGACTTTGCCCTGTATGATCCTGCTCCCATAAAAACACTAATGATGAAAATGAAAAGATCTTTAAAGCAAAGAGTTAGATTTTCACATGATCCCACAACAAATTCAGTAAGCACTTAGAAGTATAGGAACTTAGACATATCTTTTGATATGTAAATTTGATGTTTTCTTGAGTCAGTTTTCTGTAGTTTTGACAAGCAGGGGTCTCATTCTGACACTTCCAAAGACATTGCAAATGCGACATTGGAAGCAAGACATCATCCCATCATGTCTGGTCCACACGTGGTACCATTAGCCTTGTTCATCACATAGCTTTTCTCTTAACTTATAGGGGGTGCCACACCAAACCAAGTCGGTATGTGGAAACCCAAACATGAAACTACCTTTACTTACGTAAAGGTAAACCATTATGTACTGATATGGAAGGGTGTCCAGAAGTGAAATGTTAAATGAAAAATAGTATGTATAGTTTAATTCCATTTATATTTTCTTAAATACATGTACATATTTATAGGCATAAAATATCTGTAAGGATATTTACTCAACTCTCACCCCAGTGGTGACCTTTGGGTTTTTTTTTAATGGCTCCTTATTTCTAGACCAATTTCATGGAATTCCTTAGGACAGGACTTGAATCTTCTCATATTCATCACTTTTTACAAATCCTTTAAGAGCATAAAGCGGAGCACATTTCTATGAGTACAAAGCAAGTCTTTTCCCCTGAAGAGTCCCCAGATTAATGTATGATTAACGTATTCAAAGAGGTGGGGAGCTGCATCTTTAGCAAAGTTCCCAATACAATCTTAGTCAGTTGGCTCCAGCAACCTTTTGGAGTGTTTTGTGGGCTGCCCCAGGTCCTACCCAATATCTAGGCTCCTTAGTCTCAGGCTTGGCTCCAGCTCTATTCTTGGTTTTGGGCTCGTTTGCAGGAATGTTGGCCTGGAAACTCCCCTGCTTCTGCTTCACCATGGTTATCCAAGCTGGCTCTGAGGTGGCACAATCTGACTGTTGACCAGGAGCTTTTCCTGTGAAAGGAATGAAAGTTAGAACTGAAGCGAGGCAGGCAGGGTTTTGAGACTGACTGGGGCCTACCCACAGTAAGGTCCCAAATGGGACCCTTGTTAATTGCCAAATGAAAATAAACAGATAACACATAGAGAAGGGCCTCCTTCTTTTGTACCCTCCCCACAACTTGGCAAGGCAGGAGTTCCTTGAGTAGATAAGAAGCTGTACTTCTAAGTTTGCAAACCGTCCTCTTACTGGTCCCTTTCCCTCCCTTGTCCATCCCTCTTCCTATCTCCAGTTCAGGGTAGGACAGTGGTTGCTAGATGTGCTGGGAAAATTCCTACGAGGCTAGATGCTGAATTCACTGATGTCATTTCTCTTAACTCCAAGGAAAATCTTACTGTATTTGTTACCTCATGGTCCCTAATGCAAGTGTGTGGTTACATGGGTGTGGTTATAGGTGTGTACAAGACTATGTGATGGTGAGCCTGAAGGTACAAAGGCTTTGAGAGAGATAAATGCTCAAAATATCACCTAGCTCTGGGTTCTTAGGCATTTCAGGTGAGTGAAGAAGCTGTGGAAGTACAAAACATTTACAATAAATTAAGATTTCAAGCTGAGAGCCTGAACATAGTGCTTATTAATGAGTTGGTTTTAAAAATACACACAGTGTTGAGGGGCACCTAAGACATGTAAAGAAACGTATTTTGAGAAAAGCATAAAATCCCATCTACATGTAAGGTGTACAGAGGTTGGGGGATGGGGAGATGGTCACATGTCTATTACAGAATGTGGACAAATGTCCAGAGGGGACCACCTTGAGGAACAGAGGACTCAAAATGAACCATCTCCAAATCCATTAATCTAGAATGGGGCATGATTCTGCCCCTAAGTCCACAAGCCAGCCTTATCAAAGCAACAACTGAGCAAGCAAAGCTAGAGCAGACTTCCTCCTAGTCAAGACTTTGTTTTCCAGTTCTTCCCTCCATTTGGTACCTGTTTGCCATCTGGAAAGATAAAGTCTCACCTGGGGTCCTGTAAGCGGGTTGCTTCTTGCCCATGCTTTCAGATTTGGGCCTCCTCTGTAGCCTCTCTGCAAAGTTAGATGTTGTGGGGAGGCTCTGTGCGCTGCCCAGGAGCCCTGTGGAAGCCCTTCTTCTGATTTGCTGTCCTCTACCTATGGAAGATGAAATTGGGCCCAAGGAGTGCGAAGGATGCTTGGTAAAATCTTGTTTCCCACTCTTACCCTTTTGTGAGGAAGAGGTTCTTCTCAGTCGGACTCCAAAAAGATTTTCAACATCAGCCCCATTGGTGGATGAATTTGAATGACTGTTATTTTGAGCACCACTCCCAAGAGCTTCCTCCTTAGAATAAGTGCCTCCAGAAATGGATGCTTGCCAGGCAGGAGTGACGGTGAACTTCACAGGTTTGGTAGCAGGAGTCGGGGTGTTCTTAACGAGGTCTTCAGAGCTTTGGCTGCGTTTCTTGGTTTTGTTTGGAGAAGTGGGGTCTCTCGGTAGGGACCAGCAGCTAGGCTTGCTCTCAAAAATGGTTTCCTCAGCAGCAGCACTCACAGAACTTGAATAAACCTGTTGCTGACACTCAGGGTCTGCAAGAGCCTGAAAGGTGTGTCTGGGAGGCAGGCGCTCCTCCGAACCTCTCTCCTCCGCAGGTGCACTCACTGGGCCTGTCGAGAAAGTCTGTGGCTGAAATTCAGCCTCATCCTCAGCTTGGAAGGGGCGCCTGCAAGGCAGCTGCTCTTCGGAACGCCTCCATTCTCCACGAGAGCTCTCAGAAGCCAAGGAGATTTCTTGCTGGTACTCCAGCTTCCCCAAAGCCTGGGCAAGGTGTCTGGGAGGCTGCTGGTCCTTAGAACTGCTCCACTTCACATGACCACTCTCCGAATGGGCAAAAACCTCTTGCGAGCCTTCCGGCCTCCTCAAGCCCTCCAGAGAGCTTTTCATAGGCAGCAGCTTGGAAGAAGTGCCTCCCTCGGTATCAGCACTCTCCCAGCCTGAGAAAACTTGGTGCTCGACTTTTGGCCTCAACATAGATTTGGAAGGTGGATTTGAAAATGGAGGATCCACATAATTTCCCTCCTCAACAGCAGGACTCTCTGAAAAGATTTGCTGGGCCATAAACTTGACAAACGACTGGGAGGGACGCTTGGAAAGCACCATTTTCTTAGATGTGTCTTCTTCACCAGTACTGCTCTCTAGACGTGAGGACATTTCCTGAATTTTAGACTTTTTTGCCACCTGGGCAGGATGTCTAGGGGGCAGTGGTCTCCCAGAAATGCCCACCTCGACAGCAGCGCTCTCCAAACTTGACATCTGCCGGACTTTACGTCTCACAATGGACCAGGAATGTTTGGCAGGCGGCAGCTCGGTAGAAGCAACACTCTCTGGACCTTCAGAGATTGCTTGTTTGACTACTGACCTCGCCAGGGGCTGGGAAGGGACTCTGGGAGGCAGTGGCTCCATAGAAATGCCCCACTCCATGGCAGCGCTCTCTGGACCCGCAGAGGCTTGTTGCTCAAATTTGGGGCTCACCCAGGACTGCTGGAAGCTGTGTCTGGGAGGCAGCAGCTCCCCGAACATGCCCTCCTCTACAGCAGTGTTCTCTGAGATTTTCTGGGCTTGAGGATTTGTCAAGGACTGGGGAGAATATTTGGGGAGCAGTGTCTCCACCGGAATAATCTGCTCAGCAGAAACACCCTCCAAATCTGAAAATACATTGTGTTCAGCTTTAGCATTCACCAAGGGCTGGGCAAGAACTTTAGAAGGCAGAGGCTCCCTAGAAATGCTCCCTTCTGCCACAGCACTCTCTGGACCTGCAGAGACGTGTTGCTGGGCTAGAGGTCTCATCAGGGGCTGAGAATGATGTCTGGGAAGCAGCAGCTCCATAGAAACGCTCTTCTCAACCATGGCACTTTCCGCACCGGAGGAGACTTGGTGCTCCACGACTGGTCTCACCAGAGCCTGGGAGGGACGTCTGGGAGGCAGCAGCTTCCTAGACATGTTCCCCTCCACAGCTGTGCTCTCTGGACCGGCAGAGATGTCTTGCTCAGCTATTGGTTTCGTTGGGGGATGAGAAGGATGTCTTGAAGGTAGCAGCTCCACGGAAGTGATCCTTTCACTAGTAGTAACTTCTGGACCTGCGGAGACCGGTTGCTCAACTTTCAGCCTCATCAGGCGCTTGGAAGGCACTCTAGGAGGCAGCGGCTCCACAGAAATGTCCCACTCCCCGGCAGCGCTCTTTGGACCCACAGAGGCTTGTTGCTGTAATTTAGGGCTCACCCAGGACTGGAATGGGCGCCTGGGAGGCATCTGCTCCACAGAAACACCCGAAACTTCAGGTGCATTCCTTGAAACCGAGGAGACTTCTTCTTGGTCTTTGGGCCTCCCCAAGGCCTGGGAAGGGCACCTGGGAGGCAGATCTTCCTCAGAGCTGCTCCAGTCCTCAGCACTGTTGTACTTTTCAACATAGCTACTTGATCCTGTGGAGGGGTCATCATCAGACTCCCCCAAAGCCTGGGGAGCACGCCTGGGAACCAGCTGCTCATCAGAAGTGCTCACGTGCTCGACAAAACTTGATTCTGCGAAGACTTCTCGGCCACCTTTGGACTTCCCCAAGGACCGGGAAGAATACCTGGGAGCCCGCCGCTGCTCAGCACCGCTCCCTGCCTCGGAAGTACTCTCTGAATCTGAGGCGACTGCTTCAGGCCTCGGCTTCCCTAAGGACCGGGAAAAGCTTCTGGGAGGCTTCCCCTCTGCAGAAGAGCCTCTGTCTGCCAAAGCACTCACTGTACCTGAAACTCTGGCTGTGAAGGCCTGGAGAACATTGCCAGGAGGCTTTTCTCTGCAGGGATTTTGAGCTGACTTCACTTTAAATCGGACACTCTTCCGATCAAAGCTGGAAGCTCCTTCCTCTTCTGACTGGATGTCAGAAGGGTCCATAAACACCTGATCCTTCACTGGCACTGAGAAAATGACATCTTGGGTTGTGGAAAGGTTTTCTACCACTGGTGAGAGAGCAGCTCTGGCTTCCGTCTTCTTGGCTCCAGAAGCCCCATCTTCATGGTATGGTGAGAGACCAGTGACCATGGACTCTTGCAGGTCTTCAGGTATTGACTGTGATGCTGATGCTTTTCTGGCATCAAAGTCTACACCGGCATTTCTCCTTCCCACGTCGTTTTTATCTGAAAACAGCTCCAGCGGCGCAGCACTTTCTGTTTGTGGAGTTGTGCATTGCTCTACAACTTGCTTCTCCAAGGGCAGATGCCAGACAGGGCTGTCCCTGGAGGTCTTATCAGCAGGTGGGGACCCAGCTCTGTCACCTAGGCCAAGGGCTCTACTGGATTGTTTAAAGCTTCTTCTTCTGGATCCACGCTCATTCATCCCCAAAGTACTTAATCCTCTTCTTCCACGTCGCCTTCCGTATGCTGGGGAAAGTGGGTAGCCCTGACTCCCAGCGGCATCTTTGTTTGCAGCCTGATCTGTTGTCTTCTTTTCATAAATCTCAGCTCTGTTGCTCTGTTTCTGGCTTGAGGGACCTGTACCAAATAGAAATAAGGAAAGGAAAAGTGTGTCCTTTTGATTTCCTAAAATAAGAATACTCTGCCCTGGCCCGCTAGGTACCTACTTGCTATTGAATTCCCTAGTACAGAGAAGTAGCTATTCTGAAGACAGAGAGCAACTTGGTCACTATTAGCCTTCTGCAGTTGGAAATTTTTAAATCAAAGTGAAATCCTGTTTTATGAACTGATTCCAAGATTGGCCCATCACCATTATATCAACAGTCTGTTCCACCATTAGGTGTGAGACACATCAAAAGGCCATTTTTTGAACTTGTAACAATGATTACCTTTTAGGAAACTGGGGCAGGGCGAAGGGAACTTTTACTTTCTACTTAGTAGTCAACAGGGGTTATGGGAGGTGGGATTATGGCCCCTCATTTCTTCTGCTTTCAACTCTCTTGTAGTAAAGTAATCTGATGTAAAATGCATGCAAAGCAATCTTGGAAGAGTGTATTGGTCCACAGACTTCAGATCAAGTACAAGGCAGCAGTTCTACAGATTGCTCCTCTCCTCTCTAGCACTTTTACTAAGGAACCCAAGTTTGATCCCCAGGTGGGAGGGCCCTCACTTCCTCCTCTCCCTCATCATCAACTGATCCTTAGCTCCATCTAGTGGTTTCACATCCAGCAAATAGCACCGAACCTGGAGGTTCATTCCAAGCCACTTCCATTATATGGAAAACAAAAGTATCTGACCCCACGGACAATGAATGTTTTCATCTCTGTGTGTAAAAGGGAATGCTATTAAAAATAAATATGAAAAAAGGGTAAAAAGAAAGTAAAAGAAATTACTCATTTAATTTCTTTCTTTTTGTTGTTACGCAGAAGAGTTTCATGGTTTTATTAGTTTTGATGGGAGAATGTCTTCAAGGGCTATCCTGTCTTTGAACCCACGTGTGAAATCCTTTGCGGCAAAAATATGAAATAACTGTTTGACTTAATTTGTAAAACAGGAATCTTGTTTTATCAAGTATTGCTCAAAATTCAGTTGCCATCAACTGGAGCCAACATCCACGTAAACACACACACAAACACACAGACTTTTCACTCCAGTGGTATTTGTTGTTTGGGGTGTTGGCTGCCAAGGACATCTGTCTGCAGCTGCCCAAGCCCTCTCTGCCCATGGATATGGGAACTGGTCTCACTGTTAACAGAAGACCTTTTTTCTCTACTGGAAGAGAAAAGCAACTTTAAAAAACCAGGATTTTTTTTTCGCCAATTCTGTTTTTATTGTCTGGTTTCGTTGCTGAGGGGGGATGCTGAAGAGGAAATCACTGGCTGCACTCAGACACCTGGGCTCACTGAGGAACTCAGCAGGTACGTTAGACTTAGGATTAAACAAACTTACAAACAAATAACCATAAATCACCTCTCTGGTTGGAAATTCATTTAGATAAAATAGGAATCCAGGTATGACCCTTTACCTAAATCTCACACAAATGGCAACTGTATTAATTGGGCAGTTTAGATGGAGAAACTTGGACCTTATTAGTATGTATCTTAAATTGAAAGCCCTCTGAGGACCAAGGACAGCAGGCCTGGGCAATTCTCGTTATATAGCCCCTGTTACATGGAACTGTGCCACTAAGTTTGTAGTACATGTTTCTGGGTGAGGGTGAAGATGTTCCAACCTGCACTGTCTCTTTTCGGCTTCCTTTGGTCAGCTTCTTTTGGTATGGTTGTACTCTTCTCTTCTTCAGAAACCAGTGGAAGGCTTGACTCCTCTTGCTTTGGTTTCACCTAAAAGAGGGAAAGAAAGAGCTTGAATCAGACTGAAGTGCTCTTCCTCAACCCCTGTATAGCTGCCAAAGGAAAAAGCATCAGGGGAAAAGTCCTTGCTATCCAAATGGCTCTGTTGGGAGCATAACAACACCGTTAATGATGGAAATTATTTCCAGTGGTATCCAGACCCTGGTGATCATTTTCCTATTCGAAGTGGTTCACTAGATGTGACATTTCTGATCTCTGAGTGATACACTGCAAGGAACTCTCAAAAACACCCTGGAAACCACTGACCCACACTGCAAAGCCATACATATGAAAATGGGGTTGTTGGGTCTGACAACAATCGTACTCTTGTCAACACTGGAATTCCCACGTTTGCTTCACCAGTCCTGGGAACCACATTCAAATCCTGATAGACTTCTTTTCAGAGTGAAAGCATGAATTATGTCTTTCTAGCTCAAAAGGAGAAAAAAGATTGGGGTTTGGTTGAGAAAGAAGAGAGAAAAAGATGAAGGGTTCAGCCCTTACACTGAAGGGGTTAAAGTTGGTTTAGTATAATCAAGGTTTCCAGATAATGACAGTGCAGCTGTGGAAATGTCAGAGGAGCACTACACTGAACAGGGTCCAGAATTTGCTTCGTGTAAGTCTTTATGATACGCATCTAAAGACAGACATGCAACTCTTTAGGTTCCCACACGAAGTGCCTGTGTAAACAGACTCAGCTCAAAATTATTTACTTTTGAGTGAATGAGGGCAGAGAGACGTGGGATCAGATCTCTGCTCCATCATTTACTCTCTGTGTGATGTTGCGCAAGTTATTCTCTAAATCTTTCTGTCCATGTCTATAATTTGGGATAAGGAGAAACCTCCGGGGAACTTGCACACCTAAGAAATTCCAAAGCCGGAAGCAAGTGGCAGCAGCCTCTGGGTCATAAATGACCCTAGACTCATATTCATCCATGTGTCAGGGAGAGAGTCACAAGGAAGAAGTAGATGTCCCAGCCTTGTTTAGAGAGCGCTACCCAGGCCTTTCCTCAATTAGGCTGTGCAGAAGGAAGAAAGTCAGAAGGGTCACACTAAGTTTCCCTTCACCAACATTCCCTGCCTCCCACATTTGTGGCGAGGTGTCCAGGTGATAATGCATTTACAGGGTCTAGCACATAGTAATTGATCACCCTCTGCTTGACACTGAACCAAGGAGATTCTCTCAGGGCCACCGGAAGGCCCTTCTAGGCCTGCCACCCTGTCAACTGTTCTTTCAGTGTGTACTTTGTTCTCTTTCTAAAGCCAAATTGTGATGTCTAAGCTCAGGGCAACAAGGTAGCCTGAAAAGTCCTGGGCTGGAAGTCGGAAGACTGGGTTCTGGTCCAAGCTCTGCCACTACCAGAGTTTTTGAACTTCAGCAACTATTTGTGCTTTAATACCCTTCCCTGTAAAATGCTTGTAACTACAAAAACTTTTCATCTCTTCTAGCTCTGATTTACAGCCCTTTACTATGCCCCAGAGTCATGGAGGAATTGTTTGGACCGATGTGAATCTTCTAGCTCACTGACACATCTTTTAAATACCAATATCTTTGAATTCTCAGCTTTCAGTAAAAATCTTTCCCAAAGACATTACTCCCCTATCTTCCTAAACCGAGATTGGCGAATCTCGTTCAACTTTTCTTGATGATTTGGATGAATGATGAACATGACCTATTACATTGGACAATGATGCAGTGTGGCCCTGAGGGACTTACTGAGGTCAGCAAGGTTCATGCTCCCCATACTAAGTCGCCCCAGATTGTTTCTGTCATTTCTCTCCCCTATCAACCATCACTTCTCTTTGCTATCAGATCGCAGTCTGATCTGTGGCCACGTTTTAAACATAATTGGCTCACCTAAGTGTGCTAGAAATTCATGTGACAGAACTTTGTGACATCTACATGACTCCAAGAGACTTTGGATCTCTGAATGCTTGGAGTTGCTGGAAGCCTGATCTCCAAATAAGTGGGAGTGCTACAATTTGTATCTCATGGGTCTTATCTGATTAATAATTAAAAGAATGCTAATCTGGACTATGATTGGATATCTTCTACAAAGAGGGCTGAGTGAATTCCCAGATGCTAAGCCAATAAGCAGTTTCTTGGGGGGTTAGGTCACTGTTTCTCATTTCTTCAGTCCCTTTTATGGAAGTTCCACCTGGATACTACATCCCACTCACAAGATGCAAGTTTGCTCACCTCTCTGAAGGTGTCAAGCCTGGGACAGCACCCTTGACTTTACCAGCCCTACTTAGGGTCTGGATCCCCCAAACCATACCACATCCCTAGGAGCAGTCTGCAAAGGTTGGAACTCTTCTTTTCTTATATAGGAGTTTATCCCCAGGCCTCTTGGAGGACTTATAGTCACCTGAAAGCTCTTCTTCTTTTGTTTCCGGGGGTTTAAAGCCATCTTGTGTCGAGCAGCTGAAGAATCCAAACAGCCTTGGGTGGTGGCTGGGGTGCTGAAACCGACAGGCACCCGGGTGCTTCTGGAAGAGGGGAGCCTGGCAATCGTGTTCAAGGACTGTGAGTGAATGGGTCCAGATGAGGGCCGAAAGGATCTCTGGAAAGAGTAGGAGAAAAGAAGGGAGTCAGCTCTGTATGCTGGCATTGGTCTCAAAAGTTAGAAATTCCTCTGGCTGAAGAAGAATTCCTAGAGAACTCCTTCCTGAATTACTGTCCCTTTTGCCTACAGCTGCACTCACACTTCTGGTCAGTAGGCTCATTAGAGGCAAGGTGCGCACTTTCTGCTGGTTCCCTTGCAGATGAAAATGAGAAACAAGAAGTGCAGGTTGCTCCCTGGTTTACCAAGCATTCAGGAGCTTCCCTTCATCCTCGGGACAGGAACCCAACCATTCCGTGGAGTTTACAAGGTCAAAGAGTTTGCATGTTCTTTTGTCCTGTACCCCCCTTTTATTAACAGAAGGGGCTGACTGGGGTGAGAGGCACAGTCTATGTCAGTAAAACCATCAGGGTTCTGGGATTTCTCCACAGGAGTGCCTGGTGGAGACAAGAAAATCAAGTTGAAAGAGGGCTTGTCTGAAAGCTGCATTTGCAAAGACAGCACACTTTCTAGCAGACTTTTGCTTCTGTTTACTGTTCATGGGTGCGAGGCTGATGGAAGCACCCAGAGGAATGCTCTCACCACCAACAGAGTGGGAATGAAGCCTGTCACCTTGTCCCCATTACGACTGGCCTCCACCTCTCCAAACTATCTGGTCCTGGGGCTCCGAGCTGGCTTCCTCTGTAGGAGCTTCAAAATGGTCTCCCTTGGGCTTCTTGACACAGTGTTTTCCACATCTCAGAGACACTCCAGAGCGCCTCTCCCTCCTAAGAAGTTCCAGGTATTTGTGTTAGCAGAAGCCCCTTTGAAGGCCAGGCAATGAGCCATCTCTCTCCTGGACACCGGTGGCAAATGATGCAGTTTAGCAGGTAGACAGTTTCCATGTGTGTTTGCTCACTAGTTCTTTCCAAGCTAGCTTGACACAGCACCAGGGACCCCTTTGGTATTTTCAGCTTTCACATCCCTTCACATTTCCCCACCACCATTGTATGTTGATCCAGTGATAACCTTAGCTACTATCTTGGCTCCAAATATGGTTCTTTTATGGCCTGTGATTCTAATGCCCGGGGACTTAACACAACTAGTGGGTCAGGCTGATGATACGTCCATCTCACCATTCTGTTGTTGATTCTAGGAAAGGGAGTGGAATGCTACAGTTATCTTTTGTGGGGTCAATCACACAAAATTGGAGTGGTCCCAAGCCTTTCCTAACTTCTTTATGCAACTGTCATCCAGGAATATATACAACACCTCTTCCTGATACTTTATTTTTAGCTTGTGTTACCTCTCGGAATTATGATACTCAGTATACAGAGTAATGTCTCTTGTTTTATTGTTCTGAAATTTTTTTATGCTTCGGTGTGGTCTTATTTATAGTTCTGGTCTTTTGAGACTGGATGGCCGCATCTATGCTTCCACTAACTTCACACGGTCTGTCTCCGCACTGCCTCTCCGGCCATGTCTCTTACCACTTTCTGTTCCCAAACCACTGCTGGTTTGCTGTTCCTCAAACATCCTATGCATGCTCTTCCTTCAAGGCATTTGCACTTGCTGTCCCCTCTGCTGGCCATGCTCTTCCCCCATTTCCACGTGGCTAGCTCCCTCACTTCCTTGGGGTCTTGATACAAAAGCCACCTTCGCAGTGACACCTTCCCTGGCCAACCTATTTGAAATCTTAGCCTTCTACCCTGACACTGCATAATCCCCATGTGCTTGTGCTGGGTTTTTCTCCTTGGTACTTTTGATCACTGTCTAACATATGGTATATTTTGCTTGTTTATCTTGTCTGTTGTCCATCTCACAGCTCCCACTACAAATACAAACTCCATGAAGAAGAGTTTTCATCTGTTCTATTTACTACTGTATTCCTAACACCTAGAACTGTGCTTGGAACACAGTAGTTGCTCAATAAATGTTTGTTGAACTGGTGGATTAATCATGTTAAGAGCTCCTACCAGACATTGCTTTCTGAGAAGTCATCAGAGAAAGCTCCTCTGTTCTCTGTATCATTTTAGTTATTCTTTCTGAGGCCTCACTAGCTCCAGCCAAAGGTAAGTGGAAAAATCTAGAAGGTCTGTGGATCTAGAAACTCTAAAAGGATACCATGCAACCTGCTTTGCCTGAAAACTAACCTATGATGCCTATTCAGCAAGTAAATACACCTTTAGTAAAGAAACACTTTCAATTCAGTTGTCATCCCAAACCTTGTGGCAAAATCACTGTAGAAAAAAGCACTGTTTAGTAAAACCCATTCTATAGTATAACAAAGAAATCCGGTTCAGCAAAGTTCTGGCAATTTCAAGAGTGAGTGTGTGCAGGAGAGAGCTTATCTGTTCCCAGTCACAGCCTAAGCAAGGAGTCCATCAAACTTAGTAATGGCCACTACTGTCCCTATGCTTGATTGACTCTCATTAAGGAATCTCTGGACATTAGATCTAAACACAGGCCCACAGCTATCTCAAACCTGGACTAAAAATGAGATTGCAAAGCCATCAAGCATTATCCCCACTGACTATGGCACTCAAGCTCAGGTGTGTGATTCAAAACAGCCCTAAGAGGGTCTCTGCTGTTGGGTTTAGAGGATGTTGTCTGAATATAGAGTATGTATATATTTTACAACTTCCCTTAAACTCACCAGTGAATTAAATAAACTATTCAAATAAACTCTCTGGAATGTTGGGCAGTGTTTCTCAAAGTATGGTCTGGGAACCCCTACCCCTAGCATCAGAATCACCTGGAGTGAGTGTTGAAAAAGCACATTTAAAGACACATCAAGACTGTCAGGAGAGGGGCCTTAGACAAGGCTCAACAGGCTCTCCAAGTGAGTCTTCTGGGAGCCAGGCTTGTGAACCACTGCCTAGTCCTCCAGCATGAAGAGAAAGGCTCCTATTTTCAAGCAGAAGCATAGCAAGTTCCTAAATAACCACATCAGTTGCCTCAGAACAGGAGCCAGCAATATCTGGGCTCCCTCTGGGAAGTGGGGTTCCTTCTTAGGCTCTACCTTTTCCCACAGCCATATTGGTCAGGAGAAACCTAGAAAAGCTACCACTGGAGCCAACCACAGGATTTTATGAGCTACACAGGAAAAGCAAACCAAAAACCTTCCTGGCAGGTTTCCAAAAGAAAAGCAAAAGCAGGAAATGGGACTCCTTTCTCTCCTTTTCCTTTCCCTCCCCTCCTGCAACCCCACTCCTCCCACCCTGCACTCTGAGAGCCAACATACCCTCTCGGTACCCAATGTGCAAGTTATTCAGGAGGCCAAGATGGTTTCATTCCTGCTCCTGTGTTTTCAAGTAGGGGTAGCACAGAGAGCTTCTGATTAACAGCTGGAGTGAAATGAGCTCCTTTTGCCTCAACATATGGGAGATGTGCCAGGCCTGGCACCTACTAACCCAGAATCTTCCTGGGGAAGGAACCTGGGCCAGGCCTCAGGCCAGGGGAAGGAATCCTTCAGCACTGGTTGGGAGGGGTGTTGGATAGTCTTTTGCTGTTAATGGGAGAAAGGTTGCTCTTTGGATGATTAAAACACATTTTATCTCCTTTTCACTTTTCTGTCAAGTTTCTAGACCCAGTATAAAATAGGTCAGTGAAAAATGCATTGTTTGGTCATCCTTTTGATAGCTTCTTTGTCTGCTGTATGGTGTCAGGGTTTTCACTTTTTCTTTTTAACTGTTGATGAGAAACACTTGAGTGGTGATGGAGAGCAGTTTGGCTGCTTCTTGGAAAAAAAGAGAACGCCAATTGTTATGTCTTGGTATTACCTGGTGGCTCTTTAGGCCCAGATTTTATCAAGACTTTAGCCTGAAAAGCTGTCACCTTGGGGGGAAAAAACTCACTTTGAAACTGGGAGGTTTTGACACTGGGATGCTAGAGAGCTAGGTTCTGTGTGAGTCATTCAGCCAAAAGCTCCCAAGGCAAGTAGTCTTTGCAACATTTGCAGAAAAAGCAGCAGCTCTTGGTAGGAAAAGTGGTTCTTAGTAGGAGGCTTCTCTATCAAGAAGTACTGGCACAGGACATGAGACGCAATATTGGCTGTGAGGACTTTAATTTCCTGAGTGTGTCAAAGTGGCTTATTTCTCCCATTCCTGAGAATTCCTGTGCAGCTGCTGCTTCACTCAGAATCGTTGTTTCATAAAAGCTGTTGTGACTACTGTTCTGCCATCCTGAAAGTTGTAAGAGGTAGAATTTCACATATTCCCTATGATCCCCTCATTACAATCTCCCCAATTTCTTAAGTAATATAGAGAATAAGAACATGAGCTGTGGAATTGAATAGGCCTGGATTTGAGGTCCTAGCCATGGCATTTTTTTTTTTAGTGTTTGACCTGGGACAAATTACCTAACCTCTCTGAGCCTCAGTTTCTGTGTCTATAAGATAGGGATAATAGTAATATACACTTTAGTGTGCAGTTTTAAAAATTAAATGAAATGATATAGGGGGAGTGTCTTTCAAATAAGAAAGTCTCCGTAAGTGTTAGCTGCTGTTGCTATTGCTGGGCATTGATTGTATACATTCAGAGAGCTGCTAAAGTCCGCATGGTTTGGTGAAAGGTGGTATGGATTTTGGGAGGAATCCTGGGTTTGGGTCTCAGCTCTATCTCTGATTGGCTGTGTGGCCTTGGCTGGGTCATTTCACATCTCTAAACTTCAGTTTTTTCCATACAAAATGGGAATAATAGTATCTTCCCTGTCTAACTTACAGAGTTATTGAGAGAATCAAATGTACCTTTATATATGCAAAAATCACTCTGTAAGCTACAAATTTCAGTGCAACAGTGGGGAGAGGGGCATTATGCTCTCCTTTGATGTATCAGAGGATTTTCAAAAATATCTCTCTGAACTTCAGAGACCTATTTGTAAATAATAATGGTGAATTATGAAGTAAGCCATCATGGGTAATGCAAGAGGCATGATAAGGAGGCAACCTTGCAGCAATCTAAGTTAACTCTTTATTAACCAATACAATGGAACAACTGGCAGCTATTTAACTCTTACCATGT